AACAAAGAGAAAAAAATCTTTTTGATCTCATGAAAATGATTTAAAATGTCATGTATTAGTGCAATTGGTGCACTTACAGATTGTTGGTTATACAAATACTAGAAGATTATTTGATATACATATCGAAAGTTATGTGAAAGGATTGTCATATTATCATTTACGTTATGACAAGAAACTAACAAAGCAAGTGACTCAACACATAAAAGATGTGTGATTTTCTTTCAGAAGAAAAGATGAGTTGCAATAAAATTGAAATGGTCAATCCCCGAGTCAGAAATGATTTGATTATGTAGATGCAGAATATTTATTTGATTTGCATAAAGCTCGATCGGAAATGGATTATTATTTACAAATGGAGACACAACAATATCTTGAAAATTCAAAGAATCACATTAGTAACCACTTCTTCAAATCATGCAGAAATAATATTGATCTATGAATTAAGTTGGGAGTGCGTTTGGTTGGAATCATGATCTATCATATTCAGAAAATATGTGATTTTCTTTTTAAAAGGATATTTCAGCCACCATATTCGAAAATAATATATAGCTCAATCGAAAAGAGGATACAATCAAAAGAGATCGGACAAAGCATATTTCACCAAAAGTTTTTTTCACACATGATTTTCAACAAAATGGTGAGATTGATGTTCAAAGGCTCATTCAAGTGATAATCTTGTAAACATATTCACTAAGGATTGCCAACATCAATATTTGAGAAGTTGTGATACAAAATTGGAATACATCATCTCCAAGATATCAAGTAAAATTTTATCAGGGGGAGAAAAATACGCGTTGTACTCTTTTCCTTAACCATAGTTTTATCCCAATTAGGTTTTCCTGGTAAGGTTTTTAACAAGGCAACATTCAAAGCGTATTAAACGATATGTGTACTCTTTTTCCTTCACTAGGATTTTTTTCCACATGGTTTTTTCCTAGTAAGATTTTAACGAGGCATATTATCTATGGACATCCAAGGGGAAGTGTTATAAAATATTATAGTGTGGATGTCCGCTACACAAAGAAGTTACTCTCACCCATTATCTCCATTACTTTCCTCCATTATGAAGATAACTATAACTTCCATAACCTCCAACTTTATAACCATTATTCTTGTAACTTTTCACTTCCGTAACCTTCTCTATTATATTCATGTTAATGTCATGTTTATGACTAATCTTCTGTATGCCTTTATGCTACACTATAAATAGAGGCATAAGGGTTCATATTGTATACAGTTGAAGATTTGGTGAATACTTTGAAGAGTTGGAATAATAAGAAAAGCTTTCATCTCTTGTCTCCCTATTTCTATTGCTTTCATCTTCTATATTTCTTGTCTTATTTGCTTTAATTCTACAACAGTTTTCGTTATGATTGGTTTTCTTTTATTCAAAATTCACAATCCTGAAAAAGGGAATAAGACTGCGCATATATTATCTTCTTCAAATTTTACTTATAAATTATAGAGTTAAAAGTCAAATATACACTTAAGCATCCATGTTTTTTGAGTTTTACCCTACACTGTGTGGAGCGTGAGAAACACATATGAAATATCACTCGTAATGAGTTTAACATGATTTATTCGGGAAAAGTTAACATAACGTATATATGTTAGGAGTCAACTGGTGTGAGGATAAGAATAAATAGTCCTGTGATAAAATTTTGGTGTCTTGTTTAGTTGTCATGTTTAGGGTAACTTATCCCACCATTTATACCATAGTGATGGAAGTTCTCCCATATACATGGTGGGATAAGTTATCCCAAGATAACTATCTCAAGATAATTAATTCTGGAATAACTTGATCCTAACTAAACGATTCATTATTACTTATTAGTTGATGACATAACACTTATTGATGAGAGACAAAGCTTATGATAAGTTGGAGGTTTGGAGATAAATTTTGGAGTCCAAAACATTTGAGTTGAGCATGACCAAAATGAAATATGGAGTACAAATTAAGTGTTGTGTTGGATGAAACTGACATAGAAGTAAGACTTGTCACATAGACTATTTCTGAGAGAATTTTTTAAGTATCTTGGGTTCGTAATTCAAGAAAGTGGGACATCGATGATGATATCACACATTACATTGCGGTAACATAGATGAAATGGAGGCTTGCCTATGAGTCTTGTGTGATAATAAGATATCACTTAAACTCAGGGGCGGATCTATAAGTATGTGTGGGGGTGCCACGACACCCAGTGATCTCGGTTAAAACTTCGTATATATATATATATGTGTGTGTGTATATGTATAAGAAATTGTTATAAATTAAATTTGCCACCCATTGAACAAAATGGTGATAGGTACCGTTGGCAAAAGAAATGGATTCCTCACCCGCAATGTGGGTTCGATCCTCACTCTCAACATTATTTTGTGGATTGCTCTCGTATGAACTGAAGGGCTTCTTAGCTCTTTCTTCTTCTTTTTTCCCTTGTTTTGTCTTTTTTTCCATTGGTTCTTATTTATTTGCTACTATTCTTTATTTATTCAAATTGATTCTCTCCTTTTGTAATTAGTTCTTAATTTTTTTTAATTTTCGCTTTCACTAATTATTGATCTCTTGATATGAGTATTACGTGTGTATTCTTTATTAATTAATGAGTATTGTATTATGAACGTCACATAAATATTACTACGAATATATTTAAATTGTATTTTGTTTCAAAAACATAAGTAATAAAAAATGATGAATATTATTATGTTAGAGTTCTTTTAATTTTAAGGTTCTTCCGATCTTCACGTTCTTGATAAGTAAGATGGTTGGGTTGAAACAATTTTTTATTCTTTCTCTACTATATATATGCAACAACACATAAAGACAATGAAATATGAATATATTAAGTTAACACTATTAGATGGTTTATACAAATTCAAATTTTAGTGAGAATTTTTTTTCCTTGAGAATAAGACCTCTAATTAAAAAATATAATAAACTGAATTGCTTAGTTATCTCTAATCTCAGAATGTCTAAAAGAAATTATTACTAACATGCATGTTTAATCAATTTGTTTTATAAAAATTGAAAAAGATAAATAACTCGAATTGTAACCCAAAATTAAAGGAACCGACCCTTTTGTCTTATTTGGGCGATGTGGCACCCACGACCTCCATATCCTAAATCTGCCTCTGCCTAAACTTAAAATTAAGTTTTACAGAGTGATGGCTAAACCATCCTTTTTCGTATAGGGTGGAATGCTTACCAATCAAGAATTTACATGTTCAGGAGATGCATGTTGCTTAGATGAGAATGTTGAGATAGATGTATGGATATACTAGAAGCGACAAAATTAGAAATAAGATTATCCGGGGGGAGGTGAGAGATGGGAGTAGCCTTTGTGGCGGACAAGATGTGGAAAGCAAAATTAAGATGAATTAGATATAAACAGGAGGTGCGTAAACATCTAATAAGGCGGTGCAAGAAGCTGATGTAGGAGATATACGTAGGATTAGAGATAGACCAAGAGTATTGAAAAAAAGGTAATTAAATAAGACATGATATAACTTTATATTACCGAGGACATCTAGATAGAAAGAAGTAGAGTTTGTTTTGTCTTAGTTTTGTTATCTATTATCATACTCATATATTGTGTATTATATTTCAATTATTGTACTATTTTATCGTTGTTATTAGGGGTGTCAAATGGGTGGGTTAGGTTGAAATTGGAGATATTAAAATGAGTTGAAATAGAAATCGGTTGGATCTTGACCCGCCCAAGTTTACTATGGGCTCAAATGGGTTGGGTTCAAATGGGCTAAAAAACGGGTTGGGTCTTGACCCGCCCAATTTGACTCGATTAATCTCAATAATTTTAACATGGTGATATTTAACTTTTATAATCACAATTCGAATTTCCGATCAAGATTTTTTTTTAAAAAGTAACAAATTGATAGGTAAATCCTAAAATATGTTAAATAGATAATAATTGATACTTTTAATATAGAACATATCTTAGTAAAGAGTTTTAAAACGGGTTGAAATTGGAGATTGAATTGGGCTCAATTGAGGATTCTCTTAGCTAGCGTTTGGCCATAGATTTCCAAATATTTTTGGCAAATATTATTTGGGTGAAATTTCACCATGTGTTTGGTCATAGTATTTGAGAAACATATTTCAGTTTTTTAGAAAAATATGATTTATATCTGTAAGTTTTAAAAACTATCAAAACTAACCATACATTTGTATTACAAGTCAATTGGATCTTCGTTGCAACAAATAATAAGTAGTGTCCATGACACTGGAGCAATGTGGTGGTTTGGAGTGAGTGCAACAAGCATCATTCCATACATTATGATGAGTCGATTGTTCATCATTTTCATCAACAATCATATTATCACTTTCATATCCACTGAATATTTCATCACTATGTTGATGTTCACGTAAAAAATTATGTAATACAACGTAAACAACTACTATAGAATGTATTTTTGTAAAAGATAAAAGTTTGGTGTAAAATTTCAATTTTTAACAGATCCCAAATAATGAGATTTGACCAACTAGAAAAAACTTGTATTTGGGAATTTGGATATTTGCCAAATAATGACAAATTGTATGGACAAACACTATTTGTCAATTTTTTCTCCAAATATTACTTGAGAAATCTATGGCCAAACGGGTCCTTAAAAATGTGTTAGGCTTGAATGGATTAAGATTGAACCCAATTTAAATTATTTTGAATCCAACCCTTAAAATTTTAGACCGATTATCTAAGTTTGGGTTATTTTTGACACCTGGTTGTTATTATACTTTCTTTTGGTTATGTTAATTGTGGTTAATAAATTCCTCGTAGCTCAAAGACGAATAAACAGAGACGAACACTCGCATAGTCGCGTTTGTGCTTGCTCAATTCAAACAAAACAAAGTCCAACGAGGAAATGAGCAGGAGGAAATAATAATAATATAATAATAATAATAATGCTCTCCATAGATAAATAAAGAATTCCGTAATAGTATTCAACAATAACAATATATATAATACAAATAAATCAACTACACTAACTCCATCAATTCCGGCGAATGAAAAAAATGCGAAATATCTCACAGATCAGAGATTTAAAGCATCAAAGCAGCAGCAAAGACAGCAACAACAGCAGATCCAGCGATGGCGACTCTGTTCAAGGAAGCAGAGTTAGGAGATTCAGTAGGAGAACCTCCGGGAGCAGCGGCGATTGATGGAGGAGAAGCAGCACCGGAAGGAGACGACGACGGAGTCTCAGTAGTTGGTGGAGCTGGTGGAGATGCCAATGGAGAAGATGCAGTAGTAGGAGCATTTGCAGGAGCAGAGACAGGTGGTGTTGATGTAGTTGAAGGAGGAGTCGCCACCGGTGACGGCGAACTCTTCGGAGAAGCTGCCGGAGATGCTCCCGGTGCTTGTGCGAAAGCAGATCCGGCGATAAACGCCAACATTAGAGCAATGATCACCTTTGAGTATGCCATTTTTGCTTTTAAGAGAATAGTAGAAAAAGCACAAACAGAGAGGAAGAAATGGAAATGTGAGTTGTGAATACTTTTGATTTTGAAGAAAGGAGAAGAGAAGAGTGTATTTATAGGTGGTAAAATGAAGATTTAGATTAGTAGTAAGTCGGTTTAGAATTGAAAATAGCACTCGTAATTAGTAGTTGACAACTCAACCACAGAAGATGTGACTGAGTCCAAGCTGGTTACCCTTTTGTTTGCGTGTGAGGAGATAAATTATTCTAACAAAAAATTGTTTGATTATTTCCTTGTACAGCTACTTTTCAAATTTGATTTCTTATAAAATTTTGAATCTATATTATTAGCAAAAAAAATATGGTTTCCTTTTCTTTTCCTTAAAATTGATGGAATAAAATTGTGCACATATTATCTTCTTCAAATTTTATTTATAAATTATAGAGTTGAAAGTTAAAAATACACTTAAATTATTTGTATTTTTGAGTTTCACACCGTCAATATTTGGATAGTGAGAAACACACATGAAAAATCACTTATATTGAGATAACGCAATTTATTCAAGAAGAGTTAACATGGTGTATATATGTTACTTATTACCTATTAGTGGATGGCATAACACTTATTGATGAGACACGAGAACAAAGTTTATGATAGATTGAAGGTTTGAAGACAAATTTTGGAGTCCAAAACATTCAAATTGAGCATGACTAAAATGAAATATGGAGAAAAAATTCAGTGTTGCATTGGATGAATTTAACATAGAAGTAAGACTTGCCACATGGACTATTTCTAAGAGAGAAAATTTTAAGTATCTTGGGTTCGTAATTCAAGGAAGTAGGGACATCGATGATGATATCACACATCGCATTTGGGGTGATATTGATGAAATGGAGGCTTGTCTCTGAGTCGTTTTACAGAGTGATGGTTAAACCGTCCTTTTCGTATAAGGTGGAATGCTTACCCGTCAAAATTACATGTTTAGGAGATGCATGTTGTGGAAATGGGAATGTTGAGATAAATGTATGGATATACTAAGAGCGACAAGATTAGTAATAAGGTTGTCCAAAAAAATGTGAGAGTAGCCAATGTGGCACAAGCACTACTAATATAAATTAGATTGTAGATATTGAAATTTTGTAGGACTCTACAAGACGTGTTCAATTTGAGTTGGGACTCTACAACGTGTGTTTAATTTTAATTAGAATTTTAGGAGACTACTCAACCTTAAACTCCAGTTCATGCCTATATAAATGGTACTATATTTTCTTGAAAAGGCATCTCGAATATCTCAAATATTCCACAAACTCATGGCATATTCATAAAGAGATCAAATCCAAATCATCTTAATTCGAGAAATACGCCACTAACGATCCTCGAATTATGAATATCAAGTCCAAATCATCCTAATTTGAGAAATACGCCACTAACAACCCTCAAATTATGTAGATCAAGTCCAAATCATCTTAGTTTGAGAAATACGTCATTAACGGCCCTCAAATTATGTAGATCAAGTCCAAATCATCCTAGATAGAGAAATACGCCACAAACGACCCTCGAATCAATGGATAAATATCTTATGAGAGAAGATCAAGAGATCAACAGAATTGTACCTGCAATCTTGATGAATAAAATTATGTTTCTTCATTTTTTTGTAATTGTAATTTATTTTCTATCACTTTAAAATTTGTTGCAAACATAGACATACGAAGAGGAGGGCGCGGAAACACCCACCAAATAAGGCGATGCAAGAAAACCCAAAAAAAGTTGAAAAAAATAAGATAATTAGACAAGACATGATACAACTTTATATTACCAACCACATCTAGATAGAAAGGAATAGAGAGCGCGTAGGCTAGAGTTTGTCTTGTCTTACTTTTGTTATCTATTGTCATACTCATATATTGTGTATTATATTTCGTTTATCATACTATTTTATTTGTTGTTATCATAAGGTCTTTTGGTTATATTTATTGTTGTTGTTAATAAATTCCTCGTAGCTGAAAGAGGAATAAACAGAGACGATCACTTGCATAGTTGCATTATGCTTGCTTAATTCAAACAAAACAAAGTCCAAAGAGGAAATCATGATCATATTGCTCTCCATAAATAAATAAAGAATTCCGTAATAGTATTCAACAATAACAATATATATAATACAAATAAATCAGCTACCCTAACTCCATCAATTCCGGCGAATGAAAAATATTTCACAGATCACAGATTTAGAGCATCAAAGCAGCAGCAAAGACAGCTACAACAGCAGATCCGGCAACAGCGACTCTGTTCAAGGAAGCAGAGTTAGGAGATTCAGTAGGAGAACCTCCGGGAGCGGCAGCAATGGATGGAGGAGAAGCAGCACCGGAAGGAGACGACGCCGGAGTCTCGACAGTTGGTGGAGCTGGTGGAGATGCCGATGGAGAAGATGCAGTAGTAGGAGCATTTGCAGGGGCAACGATAGGTGGTGTTGATGTCGTAGGAGGAGGAGTCGCCACCGGTGCCGGAGAACTCTTCGGAGAAGCTGCCGGAGATGCTCCTGGTGCTTGTGCGAAAGCAGATCCGGCGACAAATGCTAACATCAGAGCAATAATCACCTTTGAGTATGCCATTATAGTTTTTAAGAACGAGATTTTTGAGTGAGAAAAGTGGAAGTAGCACAAACAGAACCTTAGAGGAAATGGAAATGTGAGTTGATTGTGAAAAATTGAGAAAGAAAAGAATGTATTTATAGGAGTGAAATATGGGGAGTCGGTTTAGCAAAAAAAGGTAAAGTGATTTAATTATAATTAGTTGACAACTCAAGGACGGAGGAAGAAAACAGGAAATGTGACTTGAGTTTCCAGCTGGGTTGTATATATTTTTTCTTAGCGTGTAAGAGTTAATTTTTTCTAGAAAAATTAAATTGTTTGAATGTTTCTTTTGCAAGTAGTACTTTTTATTATTCTATTTCATTTTTTAAGATTTAAACTATTTAAGTTTGTTCGGAAATTAAATCTTCAATTTTTTGAAATGAAATTTATATATTTATAAAATAATAAAAAATTCAAAATATTTAAAATAAACTCTTGTAAAAAGATTTTTGAATATTTTTTCGGAAAAAGAATCTGAAGGACAGAATTTTAATTATTGGTAAACATTATGGTTACCGTTATGATTGGCACGTTCTAGTCTGGCTAGCGGCTATTCGTTGGCCACCTAAAAAAGGCGATGGAAGATGTTTTGATATATTTTTTAGTTTAATTTTAAGATTCAATTTAATAAAGCGTTAAGATAAATTATACAAAAAAGGAAATATTAATTTATCATAATAAAATGTTAACTATAGGAATTAGGAAATATTGCGCTCATGGTTTTATGAATTCAGTCTTTTAATATTGAACTCACTAAAGGTTATCTATTATACAATGTCAACCACTTGTTGATAAAATGTTAGGAAGAATCAATTGTTGGACCACCAAGTTCCTAACTTATGCAGGAAGGGAAGGGAGTTGCTAATCAAGTCTGTCTTGTTCTACATACAAGTGTATTGGTCACAGACTTGCCAGCAAACTAGCAGAGCTTAATTACTAACCCTAGAGCTCCTTTTAACTTCTTTGGTCCAAGTAGATCTTGATGTAATGGTTGGAAAACTTGTTAACTGCTTCGTTGTCATACCAACAGTTTGTACGGAAAGTTCAACACTATCAAGGGTCGTTTGGTGTGAATCGTGTGATGGATAAAAGGAAATAATTTCGGGATAACTTTTAAGTGACCTTTAATACATTATTTGGTTGCAAAGGCTAAGATAAATTATCACAACATTAACAATTAATCCTGGGATAAGTTATCCCTCATTTGAGGTGGAATAGTAATCCGAGGATAACTTATTCTGGGATAAAGAATGTGAAATAACAAAAATACCCCCTTAAACTCTATTTTATACACCACTTTAATGTAAATTAACATAATTTCTAACAACATTCACAACCTTAATTATTCGTTGTTCTTATGATAATATGTTTTTCGATTAAAAATTGGGATAAGGTTTGAAAAATATCCCAACTTTGATCGGATTTGTTGTTGCGATACTAAACTTTTATAAGGACCTATTACCTCCCTAGGCTATTTAATACCGTATTTTTTACCCCCTGAGCAATTTAATAGTGTATTTTAAAGGTATATATGTACCCACATGGACACATTACTATTTATAATTTTGCATTTTTTTTTGTCCACGTGGGCAAATATATATGTTTAAAATACGATATTAAATAGTCTAGAGAGGTAATAGGTCCTCATGAAAGTTTAGTATCGCAACAACAAATCCGACCAAAGTTGGGTATTTTTCAGACCATTATCCCTTAATAATTACATTTTATAAATAGAATTTTTATTTATGAATATATGACAAAAAAATTAAGCTAAATAAGATGAAAATTTTATTTTAAAAAATGAATAACTAAAATTTTCAAAGAAAAATAAACTAAATAAAGTTGAGAATATTTTTGTAAACAACCAACTTATTCTTAAAATTTATGCAATGAATAAAAGTTTGAATATGACAAACCAAACAAGCAATTAAAACTACTCTCAGCATAACTAATTACATCATAACTTATCTCAATATAATGTATCTCAACAAAACTAATTCCAGCATAACTTGAATTCAAATCAAATAACACCTTAACATTATAGGTGGTTCAAATCTATTATTTAGTTAAATTTTAATTTTTTTTTATATACAAATTTACGCTTTAAATTGAAAGTTATGGATTTAATAATACATCCGTGCCTGATTATTTCTCGTTTAAAAAAACATGTTTAAACCAATAGAATCAAGCTATACCAAAAATTGATTATTAAATTATTAAATAAAGTTGTAGATTCTTATATAGATTTATAATCATTTTAAATAATTAGAACACTTTTAAATTTTATACAAACATTACAAATAATATATTTAACTATATTATATAAATTTATGTGTAAAATATATAACAATAATAAATATTTAATGTAGTTTATGGAGTGAGCATAATCTAGGTAATTAAAGTCAAGAATTATGGTAAATACTACAT